TATGTTTTTTTGCAGATACCTCTTATGTGTCTCTTCAATATTTCTTTTTTTCTATTTTGAATTATCAACATTAGGTTAAGAATGCCCTATGTCAATTTTCATCTTTTTACATATGTACAATGGTCTCTTTTGTCCTTCTGAACTTTACTGATACGCTGCCTCTTAGAAACATGTGATAATATGCTGGAGAAGTAGACCATAGTTAAAATTGTCACACACACAAAAAGTTCTTAGAGAAGCTGGTATCTGAGCTGAAGCTAGAATAAAAAATGTTAAACAGTTTTGTGAAGCCCTTATCATAAATAAACTTTCAAAATAAACATTTTCTTGTGTTTGCTCGTGTTCCAATTGTTGTATTTGTGTTTATACTATTGTTAATACTATTTCTATTATTATTAGGAGGAGAAATAATCGTGGACTATATAATTAAAGGAGTCTGGGGGAGTGGTCATTCTTGGACAGTGGTTCTCAACCTGTGGGTCATGGCCCCTTTAGGGTTCGAATGACCCTTTCACAAGATTTGGCTGATTCATAACAGTAGCAAAATGACAGTTATGAAGTCTTATGAGAATAATTTTATTGTTGGGGAGGGTCACCTCAACATGAGGAACTGTATTAAAGGGTCATGACATTAGGAAGGTTGAGAACCACTGTTCTAGGAGAACAAGATTAGTGCACACAAAAGCACACATTGTGTATCGAGGTATATGGACCATGACTTAGAGACTCACAGTAGTTCAGTATCACTTGTCCTCGAAATAAACTATACAAGGAGAGGATGAAGGATGTAAAGCACAATGGAGTTTGGAAACTGAGAATATGCTTACATTTTATTCTAAAAGAAAGACACATAGAATTAGCAATCTGATAAGGTTTGCTGATTTAAAAGAAGACTCTTTCTCTGGTAGTTTAAAGGCAGATAGCAGGGAGATTGATGTCTGGTCCCACACTCCAAATCTCACATACTGGAGCCTGTTGCTGCATTCACTATTTCCATCCTTCTCGTTCAAGTTGTCCTCTTTTTCACTTCCTCTGTACTTCACCAAGCACAATATTTTTTTCAGAGATTGGTCCCTCCTGAAAGTATGTCCAAAGGAAGCACAACAGATTCTCAAAATTGTAGTTACACAGGAGCATTATGGGTATACCAAAAATTAATACACAAATTAGAGAAGACTTTCTAAAAATCTAAGATAATTGTAGAAAAATATAATTTGAGTAGAATAATCCTTAAAGTTTAAGAAATAGTAGTCAGGATATTACTCCCAAAACTCACTGCCATTGGGTCTAATCCACTTCACCACCAGGGCTCCTAATTCAGGACATATGGAAGTTTAAATGAGTTCTATTACTGAAAATTTGAAAATTTTGTATGTCACAGGAAATCACTGAGTACTGCAATCAGTTATTATACTTCTCCCTTAACAAAATATGGGGGGTTTTAATTTACCCAGATCAGCCATCAAAAATCCTAAAAGACAGAGTTATATTGTCACACACATGAGATTATCATGAGTTAGTGTGGTAGATAAATAATCTGGTATCAATTTGAGGATTCAGAGTGAAGGGGTGGAGTCTAGCCTGTCACTCAGTTCATACCCAATGAGGCCTCTGTGTGGGCATTGCCTTCTCCTGAGGCTTCTGAGAACAGTCTTCCTCCCTGGAGGTGAGAGACACTCTCTGCTGACTCCGTGAGAGACGCTCTACTGATAAGACACATGGTGCTATGCTAATAGAGCCCATGTCCTAGGAACTGTGGAAGCCACATAGAGACTCCTGCCAGCACTTAGATGCTTACAATGCCACTGGATTCACAGGCCAATGGGTAAAAAGTCTTGTGGATTGAATGTGTTTCATGAGTCTGAAGAGGACTTTATAAATTGGTATCGGACATATAGGATAATATTGGACTTATGGACTTGATCTGGGCTGGGTTGGGATGTTTTCTCAATATCAATTGCTCTTGTATATAAAGTTCTTTCTTATACACATATGAGTGTCTCTATGAATTTGCTTCTCTAGTCTACCCCGGCTAACACAGTTAGTATTGACTTTAAGGTAGCTGGAACTTATATATTCCACAAAATTGCACACACAAAATTTAATATCAAAAAGATGAAAAATGTTTGAAAATATATCATCATAAGTTAATATAATTTTACAAAAGTTAAACAGTTGATCTATTTCCCCATCCTAATATATGAATATCTTTACATATGTACATGCCTTTATTTAGACCTCTGTATATGCCCTTTGCCTCCTAGCTCTTTCCTCTATTTCCTTTTATTTTCCTCTTGTCCCACTATCATACTCATTTTAGATCTATGTTCATATATTTATAGGTTTAGTATTAAGGTAGCAGATGGACATTGGGCCTCCACTCAAGTACACCCTCAATGCAAGAATATTTTGTTCTTTTAAGCTGGCATTCTATGATGTTCACCTTCCTGACAAGATCACAAAGACAATTGTGCATAAGCATATGTGGTGAAGAAAGCTGATGGAGCCCAGTTATCAAAAGATGTAATATCTGGGGTCCTAAAGACTTGAAGGTAAACAAGCAGCCATCTAGCTCAGAAGCAACAAAGCCCACATGGAAGAAGCACACCAGCCTGTGTGATCATGAGCTGTTGAAGGGATCAGGTATCAGGCATCAATGAACAAAAAATAATATCATTGTGAATGAGGGGGGGTGCAGAGTGGGCACCCAAAGCCCGTCTCTAGGCAACTGGACATCCCCTTAGGGAAGGGTCACTGGGAGGAGATGAGCCAGTCAGGGTGCAGTGTAGCAATGGTGTAACATACAACTTTCCTCTAATTCCAAAAGGCTTCCTTCACTCCAACTATCATGATTCCAATTTTACCTTACAAATCTGTCTAGACCAGAGGATGTACACTGGTACAGATAGGAACTGGAAACACAGGGTATTCAGGGTGGATGATCCTTTCAGGACCAGTGGGGAGAGTGGTGATACCAGGAGGGTGGAGGTAGGGTCGGGTGGAAAGGGGGAACTGATTACAAGGATCTACATATAACCTCCTCCCCGAGGGACGGACAACAGAAAAGTGGGTAAAGGGAGATGTCGGACAGTGTAATATATGACAAAATAATAATTTATAAATTATCAAGGGTTCATGAGGGAGGGGGTAGAAGGGAGGGAGGAGGAAAATGAGGAGCTGATGCCAAAGGCTAAGTGGAGAGCAAATGTTTTGAGAATGATGAAGGCAATGAAAGTACAAATGTGCTTTATACAATTGATGTATGTATGGATTGTAATAACAGTTGTATGAGCCCCTAATAAAATAATTTTTTAAAAGTTAAACAGTTGATAAGAAAGACATAAAATATATTGGAAAAAGACAAAAATAATCTTACAACATGAAAAGAATCTAGCTAGTAAAGCAAAACAAAAACTAAACAAAACAAAAATCATTGTCATGGAGTCGATTCCAATACATATTGACCCTGTAGAAAGCCCACAAATGCCTTTTAGGGTCCTGAGACTGGAACTCTTTAAGGGAGTAGGAAAGTCGTGTCTTCCTCCTTGGGGGTAGCTCACCATGCTGCGAACTGCAGGGCTTCCTGTGGACAGCCCAGCTTGTAATCACTGCACACCTCGGGCTCCCTGTCCAATAAAGATGCTTTAAAAATCCACTGATTTTAATAAGAAAAGATGTTTCAATACAATTGATAGTTTTTCATTTATTGAATTAGTAACAGTATAAAAAAGGGACATTATTCTGCCTATCAACTACTATATTGGATTTCTTCTTGTGTATAATTTAGCATCATTTTTGATAAGAAATTATTAAGTTCTGAGAATATTTATAGTTTTATTCAATGATTCCACTTTTAGGAATACTTTCTATGAAAATTAAAATATATAGAAATATAGAAGGCATACAAACATTTATTTCACTGTGTATAGACAATAAATATTGTGTCCAGAAAATAAATAAGTGCTGCATGAAGGATAAATGTTAAGTAATATGTAATATAAATGTTGAATGAAATATTTTCAATTAATATTATATTTAAAACATACCTAATATTTATTCAAAATATTCTTTATATTTTTTATATATGTAAATTGTTTTCTACTAAGCTCATGACTTAACTGAAAGACAAAATAAGAAAACAAGCATAATAATACTCTTTTTATTGAACCTTAATGCAACAAAGATGTGACAAGGATTTTAGACCCTTATTTGTTCAAAGGTGGGACTTCGGGACCAAAAAACAAGCTCACTGTCTTGGAGCCAATTCCAAAGCACAGGGTCTGGTGGCATGGGGTAGAACTGCCTGTAAGCCTTTCCAGGAGTAGAACACCCCCCTTTTTTGCAAACATCTTATCTTGCTGTTAGCAGTCCAACTTATAACCACTATGCCACCAAGTTTGTAGAAAATATACTCTTGATAAAAAAATAAACCTTAGGACGAAGTCGTTGATATCGACCACACTGCTTTCATTTTCCTGGAGAAAATACAGAGAAGAGAACACGAGTAACTGTGTTAAAAGAGGTAAGATGTAAATAGAACTAATCTCTACTGTGAGAAATATTTTCATAATAGGGAGATGGATTTGTCATCCCGTATGTAGCCCAAGGTACCTTACTTAATGTCATTAGCCTAAGGTACTTAATGCACTGCATACATTTTGTATAACATGCTACATTGTACTCAGAGGGAAATCGCTTGGATGAGGATGTTACCTGAGAGGGACAGTTAATGCGGACAGGCTTCATCTTATTGCTGATAGTGAGCAAAAGGGTAAGTCCCACTATCTGGTTGTCAAGAGAACCTTCCGAGACTGGCCTAAGACTTAATGAACCTTATATGTTTTCTTCACCTGCTCATGTCCGACAATTGTTTCTTGTGCTTATGCTGAAATCTGAATTACTGTGCAATATCTGGATGTGATTCCTGCATATGACTTTCAAAGTAAGAAGTATATATTCTCTGGATACTGGATTGTAATCCGGGTACCATCAAGATAGCTTCTCTATGTAGCTGACCTCTTCCCTGGTGTCACCTCCTAATAAACTTATCATTTTCTCTCTAATTTGCAATTAGTGACGTGCTGCTCCAGGATATCAACCCTCAATAGAGGTAAACAATGTCCAAATGGGAAGGTCTTGCCTATAATCGATTCAATAGGTAATTGACCATGTGGTGTAGACGGATTTCAGGTCCAACATGCTAGCGTGTGACTCCACGGGCGTGACTTCATAAATAAGCTAGACACCAACTGCACGTAGTATTTCTGAGTTTTACAGTCAATCAGATTTTTGTGAAGTTTCCATTGATTAAGCCGTACTTAAGAAACATAGAACTGAAGGGTCTTCTAGCTGAAGAATATTGGATCTACGAAGCCATTAAGACAAAGGCAAATAAGATAAACCTCCACAACTAATCAACAGCTGCCTGTTATCATTGTGTCCCGGGTTATCAGACTTTATAGAACAGACGGTGCATTCATTACCTGGGCTGCCTCTTATGTGTTCCAATTCCCAGGGAAGAGGTAGAAATATCTTGTCAGGGATACTCTCTCAATGGTGGGCATCTGAGTCATTTCACTTGGGATTTCAAATGAGTGTTGAACCTAAAAAAATAAATAAAGCAGTTAAGGGTTCTGTGGAAGGATACTAGACTCTTTTTAAAAAAGGAGAAAATTCATAATGTGTATTATTGCTGCTATCAGTTTAATGAAAACAAAAAAGTTAACTTTAAAACATACAGTTATGCTTGCATGAATTAGCACCAACCTAAGCAGCATTCCCTGAATGAGCAGGAATATCAGTATCAAAGGTCCTAGGGAAGACTCGCTATGTTTCTAGGGTACATTTCAGAGCGCTTCTTATTTAAAGGAATTCGGCTTCATAAAGGATCATCAGGATGACTTTGGAGCTTCAGAGTTCTCTAAAAAGCTTGGTGAGTGGCTCGAAGAGTTTTTCTGTAGCATATAATTAGAAGAAGAAGGAAAAAAGATGTGTACCTTTCTGAAGATTTCTTCCAAATGATAGCCCGAAGAATGCTCCTCAAAATACTTGATAAGTCGGGAAATGAAGAGAGAGCCATGGCTGTCAAGTCTCCAAGAAATATTATCTGCAAATAAATGTCATTGTAATATTTTGGGATGTGGCCTGTGTATAAGTGCTCAACACTCCTGGAGCTATAGCTTATGCAGACAGATGTTGGAAGTTGTGAAAACAGAAATTCCATATTTTCATTTCAGCCCAGAAAAGTACGACTTGACCTATTGCTGCAAATATTCCATACTGTCTCAGGAAGCATGGGCAACGTTACGGCCCCTATAAATGAAATTAGTAGAAATTCTCACAGTTATTTATTCTCTGATAACATTTTTAAAAATCGAGCTTTCAGCATTCATTCCTACTTGTTTTATACTATATATTTGTACCTGCTTCTTAATTCTTAAAAAAAAAAAGTTAAGATAATCTTTCCCAAACTATGGCCAGCTTACCTGGAGTTAGCTTCCCACTTCTCCTTCTCTTTGATAGTCAGTTTCTCAATTTTACTTATAATTCTGGACTCCATTTCCTCCTATTCTGCTCACACTCAATCCTTCCTGTCTGGCTTCCTGCTCCCCACTCTATCTTCACCAAATGGATTTTCCCAAGGTCACCCATGACTTCCAAGTCACTAAATCCAATTATTTGTCTAGTCTCTGATCAAGCCTTTTGAGTTTATTTTGCTGGCTAATCTTTCTTGTGCTGGTCTTTGATCATTAGTATTCTTCAAACCCCAACTTTAGGAAATCTTCTCATACTGGTCTTCGTTTCTAGACAATTTAATTTATTTCTAGATATTAAAGACTATCTTTATTTTAAGTAAATGTCTAATAAAATTCTATTTCCAATGCAGCATTCCTTTCTAAAATAAGTACCATTATGCAATTTTCTAATCTTTACATTTAGATATCCAAAAGACATTGCAAACCTTTTTGCAGTGTTTCCCATTTTAATAAATGCACCATAACCATCACCTGAACACATAGGTCACCTCTATCATCTCTTCTTATTTACTTTCCATGCCCACTAGAATACCAGGTAATACTGAATTTATATACTAATTCATTTTTGGATGTAGCAACTCACTTCATTCTAAATGGAATATAATCTCACGTGACCTGAATATTGCAGTGATGTTTGAATTTATCACCCATTACTATTCTTATATACACTAATACATTCTCTACAGTCCCCAGAGAATTCATTTAAACAGTAAGACCCTTTCATTGCATTGCTTATATACCACACAAATTTTCTATCACTGTTATTATAAAGTGCCAAATCCCTCTCTAACCTATGAAACCTTAAGTTATCTGGTCTCTGCTTTGTCTGCCTCTACAGACACCGTCTCTGACTGTGTGTTCCAAGCCCACCAACCCTCTCATCCTTGCTCTTTCTTTCTAAGGTTTTCCATTCACACAGCTCTTTGTGTCCGGAATGGTTCCCTTTTACCCTCTGACTTTCTAACTCCTTTGTCTTTTCAATGCCTGTTATTTTTTTTTCCTTTGGAGCACTTTTAACAGTTGGTACATGTGATTTATTTCCGTGATAGCATGGTGTACTCTCCCCCTCAATTTATTTCTGCCTCCCTGGCACGATTCTCGAGTTTTTCATGTCCAGTACCATGTTGGCTCTAATAGTGTATCGTATACTGAGGCCAATCCAAGAACATAATGAACCTTGAATCATTATGTGTCCAATAACTAAATGGAATTATTTTACACATTGAATTTTATTCTCCTAACTAAACTTTTCTTCAGATTCTATATTACTCTTTGTGTGTCTCTATAAATGTTATTAAACGCTAAAACTGTAGAATTTCTCTTCCCATTATACTTCATTAAAATGTCGAGATATGACGTCCCGTCATGAGAGTACAGCGACACGGAGGACAACTTTGAGGACACAGGCAGGGAGTGAGCCCAGTCTGAACACCCCCTCCACCCCCACCCCCTTGCAGTGTGGGGGAGCCAAGATAGTAAAACAACAGATCAGCAGTGGGAGAAAAGTCATGAAGCCCCTGAGGAATCCCCAAAATAGACATCAGACTAGAGGCACAGAGAGCCTGGAGCCCCACTGGATCATTGGGGATATAGTCATAAAGGTCAAAGGATAGGCCTGGAAGTATGTATGGACTCTCTCTCTCTTGCTCCTTTCTTTTTAACTGGTCTTGTTTTTCTAGTCCTGCCTTTGTGGTTTCTGTTGCATCTATCTATGTAAAGTAGGCATGCAAAGCAAACCTGAGGAGAAAGCATTGGAACAGATGGTTCTGGGGTGACTTTTGGGGAAGAGGAGACAGGAGAAAGGGAGGGGTGCAAAAATAAAGTCATGGATAAGAGAACAACTAGGGATCTAAAATTGAGGGTGGGGCATGTAGGGTTCCTGGAGGCGTTGGAGCAAGCATCATCTAGCCAAGAGGAGCTACAGAGAGGCAAACGAGGGAGGAGGATGGTAGTGGGGCAGGAGGAGGGTAAAATAAAATAGATGATAGATGATAGAACTAGGGAGAAAACTATAGAGGTACAAACATAGATGTGTACATATATAAATATGCCAATTAAATTGAATAAAATATAAAATATGCTAATAAAATATAAATATTGAAAATGGAATGTTGGCCTATTTCCATATATTTACAAGGCAATACATTGAGGTAGTGAATTGATTTTGGGCCTCTACACAAGTTTTTCCTCAACACAAGAACACTTGGTTTTAACAATCTGGCATTGGGTAAAGCCCACATTCTTGACATGGTCGCTGAAGACAAACTGGGTGCATAAGCAAATGTGGCAAAGAAAGCAGATGGTGCCTGGCTATTAAAAAGTATAGTGTCTGGGGTCTTAAAAGCTTGAAGCCAAATAAGCAGCCATCTAGTAGGGAATCAACAAAGTCCACATGGAAGAAACACAAAAGCATCTGTGGTAGATATATAATCATTTGTCAATTTAAGGATTAAGAGTTTAGAGGTGGAGTCTAGCTTGTCAATCAGATTATAGCCAATGAAGCCTCTGTGTGGGCATGGCCTTCTCCTGAGAATGCTGGGAAATCCAGGACTTCTTCCTTGGAGGCTGGAGACACTTCTCTCTCTGCCACTCCCTGGGAGACATAGCAGCTGACAAGACACATGCAACTACCCTACTGCCCTGAGCCGGATAAGCCACATGGATGAAACCAGACCTCGGAAGGTGGAGAAGCCAGAGAGACACCCCTGCCAGCACTGAGATGCTTACAACGCCACTGGACCCAAAGACTTTCTACCCACTGGTTTGTGATCATCCTGCATTTGGCTTCACTGCATTTGTTTCTTGAGTCTGAAGAGGACTTTATAGATTGGTATCGGACATATGGGCTGATATCAGACTAATGGCCTTGGATTGGACTGGGTTGGGATGTTTTCTTAATGTACAATTACCCTTTATATATAACTCTCTCTTATATACATATGCGTGTTTATGAATTTGTTTCTCTAGTCTACCGGGACTAACACAGCCTGTGTGATCATGAGGTATTGAAAAGAATAGACATCAGAAGTTCAAAAAGAAACAACCTCACAGAGGTGAAGGAGAGGGGTTGAGGTAGAGACCCAGAGCCCATCCAAGGATAATTGAACATTCCAGCACAGAGGGGCCACACAGAAGAGAAGATACATCCAGGGGACAGTATCACACTGAAAGGACACAACACTTCTCTAGGTCCTTAATCTTTCCTCCCCCCCACTATTATGACTCAGTCCTACCTCAAAAATCTAGCTAGTCTGGTGTACATTAATTGATACAGACAAGACCTTTCAATTTATGGAATTCAGGAGAGACAAACCACTCAGACTCAGTAACGGGAGTAATGACTTCATGAGGGTAAGGAAAGGGAAGGGAGGGGGAAGAGGGGGAAAGGTTAATTTATAAAAATGATGGCAAAATAACCCACCTTGAGGGAGACTAATACCGGATTATAGAAGGTATAGAAATGGCAGTGTAAGTTATATGTAAATAACAATACATAATATAATAAGGGTTCACAAAGGTGGTAGGGTGGGGGAAAAAGAGGAACTGATAACAAGGGGCTCAAGAAGAAAGATAGTGCTTTGAAATTCTTGACAATATTTGAACATATTTGCTTAATATAAGGAATGCATGGACTATTATAATATATGTAAGAGTACCCAATAAAATGATTTATTAAAAAAATAAAATATCAATATATAAAAACAGAAATGGAGCTTAATTGTGGATGGGTGTTGTTACTGACTATGGGCACTGAGTGATTTCATGGTCTTTTTCCTATTTTCTACACTAGACCCCTGAGGGTCCTCTAAGCCTTCACTGCTCAAATGTGGCTAATTAGCAGGAGTACTAGCATTCCATAGACCAGCGCTTCTCAACTTGTAGGTCGCAGCCCCTTGGGGAGTCAAAAGACCCTTTCACAGGGGTCGCCTAAGACCATCGGAAAGCACATATTTCCAATGGTCTTAGGAACTGGGACACTGCGCCTCTATCCGTTTCCAGGCAGATCCTCCCACATGAAGATACGCCCACGTACGAATACCCTGAGTGAACACTGTTACCCATGCTACACCATACTTCGAGACAAAAGTTCATTTACTTGTAATTAGAAATAAATCTTTCTCAATATTTAATTACATATTGTTTTTGTGATTAATCACTGTGCTTGAAATATGTTCAATTTGTAACACTGAAAATACACCCTGCACATCAGATATTTACATTGCAATTCCTAACAGTAACAGAACTACAGTTATGAAGCAGCAACACAAATAATTTTATGGTTGGGGGCCACCACAACATGAGCAACTATTTTAAAGGATTGCGGCTAGGAAGGATGAGAACCACTGCCATAGACACTCTTTAGAAAGGCTAAGTCTCAGGCTCCAACGCAAACCAACTGTCGGAGTTTACATTGTAATAGGGCCCCCAACTGATTCCTATGAACAGTAAATTCACTTTCACTGCACTATAGCATGGAGGACTGTGAATTGTGTAAATTAGCTTTTCTAAAATTACCCTTGCTATCTTTCATTGATAATATAATGCATGACTGATAAAGAGATTTTATGTAGCTTAGAACAGAAACAATAGATTCCTCTATTTTTCTCTTCCACTACACCTTTCCTTCAAAAGAAAGTCATTAATTGTGTTAACCTGAAGGCATGAATTTAAATGCTAAGTAGTTTTCTAAAACTAGATTCATATAACAATGAAAAGGTATATGAAGCAAGTCCTACCAGTTTCAGTGACTTTTCATTTAATTGCATGTAGATAATCAAATGGATAAGATCATGAGATGGCACACATGTCTGCTATATTTAATAAAACACAGCAACAACCATCCTATCTGAAGTTTAGTTCCTCACCGTAGTCCTGCTAATCTGAAAATTTCCCTCCAAAATCGAGTCATAACATTCTAACAAGGTTTCAGTATTTTCAATCTCTCCTCGAACCAAAGTATGCCGTACATCAGAGAATAGATTTTTTGATCAATGACAACATTTGATCATGATTAATTATTTTATCTGCCAAATAATAAATTTAGAAATTTCACTCCCTGAAGTCACTTACGTGGGGTTGATGCTTTGAAAGAAATGAAGTCCTTCTCCACGTGGGCCTTTGTAATTGCATCATTCTGAGAGGAACATTGAAAGGGACGTGCACATGCTTCTCCCATGTCAGTCATCCAAACAAACCCAGAACTTCCTGGGGAGATATCCATCCACCAAGCATATTTTACATTTCTTATTTTTTTAAAATCACTTTTATTTACTATGCCTCAGCTTCGGTACATTTCAACAAAGGGTTCATTAAAAATGGAAGTTTCTTGTTGCTAGATAAGGAGGTCCAAACAGGCGATATGCCCGTGTGTGAACCTAAAGGCTGGAGTTTGCGCTCACCTGTGCACGCTCGCAAGAAACACCGATGACTGAGATTCCGTGAATCTGCTATCGAAGCCCCTATGGACACAATCCTACTCTGTTACACAGGGACTCGCCATGGGCGGAACCAACTCCATGCAGCTAGGCCACATGGAAAAAGACTAGAAACTGATTGTGGTAACAATTGTACAATTCTACTTGATGTGATTAAAATAGGGAGTGATAGGAGACGTGTATCCAATCCCCACTAATAAAAAATTATTAACAAAAATACACACCCCAAACTATAAGCTACCTCATTGACTGGACAGTATAGAGTTCACTTATGTTTGGGAGGGCTATGTTGACAACTGAGTTCTGAATGACGGGGCGATTGCGCATTACTTTATGTAACTTATTGTTTCTTTAACAACAGTACCGAATAAATATAAGTTCTTTCTGCACGGGATCTAAGACAACCAAATCTGGGAAAGGCAGACCTTGTGTCAAGCAGAAGCTTGGCAATGAAGGGAGACTCAAATACTGGCTACTGCAATATCTGCCAGAAACACGGTACGCTGACACGCTGTCAGAGGCAGCAAACCTGCTAGCCCTAGAATAACAGGGTCACCCATGCAGTGCTGCCTCACACAGGCTTCGCTGTCACAGAACTCGAGGGCTTGTTCTCTATTCCCCCCGATGGAATGAGGAAGAAACACCGGGCTAATAAAAACAATCGCGCCATCATTCCTGTACTCCTCGGAGCTCCTCAACGCAGACTTACCACCGCGGCAGGCCTGCATGATGATGACCTTGGGTTTGTCTTTCAAGTTCTGGCAGTTGCTGTTGTTGAAAATATGAAAGATAGTATCGTCTTTCAGAATATCTGGCTCTTGTGGATGGTGTTTCTTCCCACAGATTCCATCCAAAATGCCATGTGACATAAACACCAGAAATGTGCTGTCAGAGGACTTGTGCTCTGGCCGGGCAGCAAATTGCCACAGCTCTGCTTCCATTTGCTGAAAAAGAATCCACTGTCACTCCTGGGGAAGGTTCCAGATAAAAATCCCTGCTCAAATAGTACATAATCTTCCCAGAAAGAGTAAACACTGAGAAATCAGCCGATTCAAATGGGGTGTAATTTTAAGAGAAAAGATTTCTGACATAAAAAACCCCAACAATTTAGATTTATAGGATATGACAGCTAGAAGAATTTTCAGATAGCACTACTTCAATGGTCTTTAACAGTCAGATTTCTGAAGATTCTGGTAACTGAAGTGCAAGGGGGCATGGGGCATGAGGTGAGATGTTTCAAATAATACTGATTTTTTTTTTTGCAACTCTTTTACATGTTGGGTTTTCTGTAAATTTTTATTCATTGAAGATATACTGAGAGAGAGAGAGAAGGCGTAAGAGATGGACTGAGAGAAGGGGCGAACCCGTAATATAATGTCTTGATGTGAAACTTAGAAACACTAGATTCCTTTATCATGAAACATATTAAAGTTAGCTCCACTATGGTGTTTCTAAAAGCCCATAGGATGTTTTGCCCAAACTCCAAAAGATAATTTTTCAGATGTGTGTGTATTTGTATATGTACAGATATACAAAATTTGGCCTCATGCTGTTGAATTTGCATTCATACACAAGATATTGAAGTTATAAGAATATCAGGGACTTTCCCTATAGGTCTCTAGTAATCCTAGAGTTAATATTTGGCCTCGACAATTTGCCTCCCAGATCACGAGCTTCAGCAGGACCCAACGCCATTAGATGTTTAAGGAATTATTGCAGCAGAAAGCCGCTCTAGATCTCTTCTATGAGTCTGTACATTAGAGGGGGCTGGTATTGCAAAGAACCCCCTTTGGAGCAGAGTGCCTATACCGGTGTACACTTTGTCCTTGACCCTGCCAGAGGGAGAGCTTCAAAACGGCACCTGCAGTGAAGAGGCTGTATTTCTCCGGAGGAACATTACCTTAGCTGTGAGATTCTCTTTGACAACCACTGCATAGCCAAGGTTTCCCAGCAGCTCTTGCATCCCTGAAATGTCTATTTCAGCCCCATGTCTCATAGAAAGATGGTCGAATACTTTGTTGCAGATGATGAGAGCCAACCGTGTCCGGCCTTCCTCTTCCATCACTGGATAGATCTGTGTGTAATATAAACAGAGTAAACTGTCTTTTCCCTTATACATATGTATATGTGTGTGTATATACATGTGTGTATACATATAGTCTTTGAACTTACTGATTCATGGCGACCCCATGTGTGTCAGAGGACAGTTACGCTCCATGGGGTTTTCAGTCGCTCATAGTTTCAGAAGCAGATTGACTGATTGTTTCAGAGGAAGATCTCAGGGGATTTAAACTTCTAACTTTCCAGCTAACCGTTGACTGTGTTAACTCTTTGCACTACCCAGGGACCCTTGATGCAAAACAGGTGTTCCTAATCTGAGAAGGGGGTGAATATTATGGAAATTAACCATAGACTCATAGGAGACAGAATGAATGGTCCCAGGCTAAAAACACAGACTACTTTGAGCATTTATTTCAGGAACTTCACTTGGAGGGTAGCAGGGGTCCTCAAACTACGGTCCACAGGCCACATGTGGCCCGCCGAAGACGTTTATCCGGCCCCCCGGGTGTTTTGCCCCATTTGTTTTTTTACTTCAAAATAAGATATGTGCAGTGTGCATAGGCATTTGTTCATAGTTTTTTTTTTTTTAAACTATAGTCCGGCCCTCCAACGGGTCTGAGGGACAGTGAACTAGCCCCCTGTTTAACATGTTTGAGAACATAGAGTTTAGAGTGAAGACGTTTGATGTGAAGAAAACTCAGTAAGATTATGTCCCTTGGTCTCGATGACCTTGAGCATGATCTCAAAGCATTTGCGACAAGAACCGAAAATCTCCAATAATTCCCCAGGTCTCATTTGGGTATACAACCGTGCGTCTCCCGATTCTAAAGCATATCACCTCTTCTCTCTTCACTGTTTGGAAACGACGATGAGGGCAGAGCTTCAACTCATCAATTTCCAGAGGTTCCAAAGAAGCTATTAAAAAAAGAAAAAGAACCTCATTAAACAGCAGCATTCACAGACCTGCCATCCTGCAAATATCTTAGCAATTCTCTCATCCTTGGGACGTGAGTCCCACCAGCAACAGAAAAGCTTACAACAGGCCAACATACTGCTAGCAGTGTTTCTAAAAGAGATGGCCATCTAAGTCATGTGGTAGTTCTTTTTAAATAGCTAAAGATATTAAGTTTACAAATAGTGAGACAAAAACAAACATTGGAATCCTTTTCTTTTTCTGCTTCTTACTGAACACACCCTACATTTTTTATTAGTTTTTGTTGTTGTTGTTAGTGTTCACAAAACTGAGCGAACTTTCAGATCTAACGTGTTGGAACTACATCAACACAGAAGCTAAGATTTGAAAGAGGACCTAATGTTAAGGCCAAAGACCATAGGATGGTTTCTAATAGGATTTCCCTCACGTTAGAGTCACTCATACTGTGGGACACATTTCAAACTCTACATCACCCAGACTAAATTCTTGCGATAAATACTCCGATGACGTCCATGTGTTTAGTTAAGGGTCTTATTTTTTGTCATCATGGTGGTTCATTTAGCTTAGAAAAATCACTTTTCAGGTATTTTAACCCAATTTACAACATTCCTATTCTCTCTGCCACTGACAAAAAGTTACAAGATCCTCAAGCATTCTGCGCATCATCACACACGTGCCTGCTGAATATTGATGCGTGTCCTCCCATGGAGATTTTATAGAAAAAGTCTCATTTCTTTGCTTGTCAAAATCCATGACATCTGAGACTTCATTCAATCTGTCTTCCCTTAAGTCCCAATTGCTTTGTATATGCCCCCATATAAGCACTTATTGCATCTTAATAGTGTTTCTGTCTCCCCGGTGTGATGCAGAATTACTTAAGACCAGGGTCATATATTTCATCTTTGTCTTCTAGGTATCTAGCAAGGTAGCTTAACACAGATAAAAACTTTATAATTGTTGATTGATACATAATATCTTTAAATATTTGAAAATAAATACCAATATTGTCTCTCTCTTTTTTTGTTATGTTTTCCCTTAAGGAAACAAACCTTAAATTCCTTCAAGTAGTGTTTTATGAGAATTATTTTATCTTTTTAAATCACCGAACCCATCAACTCTTCACATCTCTATTTACTCAAGTTTATTTCTTACTATAACAAAAAATGTGCACTTCCTCCTATCTAAGGACACATTTTCTTAAAGATCATTTATTGGGGGCTTTTACATCTCTTACAACAATCCATACATCAACTGTATCAAGCATATTTGTACATCTATTGCCATCATTATTTTCTAAACATTTACTTTCGATTTGAGCCCTAAGGACACATTTTTACACATGTTCAGTCTTTCTTCCTGAGTCATCCACAAGAATTCGCCTTGGCATTCATAGAGCTCTATCTCTTCCACTATCAGTTCATCAGTTTATCTCATACTTCCTTCTCCATTGATACCATCTTCATATAAGCATACCTTATTATCAACTGTCTTTTAAAGACCTTCTCTTATACATATATCTTTTGAAGCTATTTTTTTCTCGCTTTCCTTCTTTGCACAAATACTTGGAGGTATTGCATAGTTTTACTCTATTTTTAAGACTTTTATTTATTTTTTCTTGCATGCAATCCATTTGGTGTCTATTCTTAGCACTTAAATAAAATATTTATTATCAATTTAATTACTGGTTATGTGTTGCTTTCTCAGCACTTAACTGGTGGAATATATCCTTTTTCTTGAAAACTGATCCCTAGGCTTCTGTAACACAGCATTTTCCAGTTTTTATTCAACAGCCAAGTGACACAAACAGGTGCTTGATTGCTAACTGAAAGACTGCCAGTTCAAATACATCCAACAGATTCTAATAGAGAAAGATCTTCGTGAATTGGTTCCATAAAGATTACAACCACGCATATCCCACCAAATATTCTACTCTATCACAGGGAGTCACAATGAGTTCAAAACAACTCTATGGTACATAGCAATCACAATTCTTATATCACTTGTCTGACTTGGTTGGTTTTCCCTCTTTCACACTTCCAAATGTTAGATGGAGCTATGCTGCGCCTTTCTTTACTCTAACACACCATCTCCCTAATGACTTCTTCCAGTCTCATTATCTTAAATACTGTTTCTATTACCTTAACTGCTGAATACCAACATTCATTTCCAGACTTCATCTCTCTCTTTGCTACTCACTTGAACACCTCTGCCGAATATAAATGCTGTGTCAACCTTCATAAGTACAAGCTATAATTCTTGGTGTTTACCCGCTTCTATACCTGCACCCCCACCCCGAATACTACAGTCTGTTCCCCGTCTCAGTAAATGAAACCACCAGATATCCGGTTGTCAAGACGAACCTAAAATTTAAGGGTTTTTTTCCTTTCTCCCTTTTAAATCCCACATCCAATCCATCAGTTACTTTCTGTTAAATCTATTTTCTAATTAGCTCCCCAAATTAACCACATCTTATAAATCCCATTGCTAAAATAATAGTCTAAAACTATCATTCCATAAGAGAAATGCTTAAGAAGCTTTAAATTGACCATTTTGATTCCATGTTTATCTGTCACCACTCTGCTTTAAATATTTTATATGTTTCTTTTGAAAATGAAACCCAAAGTTATTTCCTCTGACACTACATGCTGCTGTCCCTGTCTAACTCTGGCAGCTTCTTCTAACACACTCCCCATAATACCTATTCTGCAGACTGATTGCCCTTCGCGATGAGCCTCTCACAAGAAAAATTTAATCCTGTGTAGCACTTCCTTTCTTGTGGGCTGCTTTTACCTTAGAGGTGGGTATTACAGTCTCTCCATTATTAGATATATATACATATATATATGGAAATATCACCTCAACAGAAAAATAACTTACTGGATCACGCTAGCTCACATACCTCCTACCACCCAAATTCACCTCTCCAGTTCTATGCCATAATCTCTCTTCTCTTGTAAATTCTCTGAAATTATACTACTTTCTTTTTTATATTTTAATGTCTACCCTTACTATAGTTTAAACTTCATGAGTGTAAGATCTTTATCGTGTTTTTTTTTTTGCTTTGAGCCTTGCAACTAGAATAGCATTTGCAGAACTAATAAAATAATTACCAATGATTACAAGGTTTTTCTTTATTCATAAAATATCCCCCAAACTTCTAAAAAGATGGTACTTGGGAAAGAACATATTCTATGTCTATCACTCCCTCTGGGGAGCCACTCTAACTCTTCCGTGCGGGCAGAAAACCCTTCCCCGTTGCTTTGGTGGTGACCTTGTCTGGGTGACTCATACCGAGGTGTTCTTTCTTGTCGTTCCTTTTTTAAATGGTCTGTCTGATTTTCTTAGCCACATCTTTTTCCTGTTTTCGTTTTTTGTTTGCAATGAGTAGTTTCTTATCTCTTTAGTGTTTCATGAAGTCTTTATCAGACTTAGCTTACGTGATGCTATTGGGTGTCCAGGAATGAGTATTACCTGTGACAGGTGGACGTGATGCCTGAGCCAATTCCTCATTCTCATTAGTTTCATGATCGCTTTCATTTGGGGATTCTGAGAATAATTAAAAGACAGAGGTATAAGTTCTAACATTACTTTGAGAGATCTTTGCAGAGTCAAAGTTGAGAGAAAATTCAGATTTTTTTTGAATCTAAATCCTGTGGCCATTTTGCTCTAACATAGGACTTCTACTGAATTATTTCATCCCAATGCACTGGCCATGGGGTTTATTGGAGGGAGACCTGATGCCTGGGCTGGCCCAGCATTTTCCTCCTGTTCATTATCTTCATTTTTGGCTTAATGTCCTGAGGCAGAATGAGCAAAAGATTGAGAACATATAATTTAATCCAAATAAGCCTTACAAAGGCCAACACAGACTGAGCACCCAGGCACCATGTGTCTTATTTGGAGCACATTTTCATGACATCCCACACTGAAGAATTTCCACTGTGATCTGGGATTTGGAGATAATTACCTGTAGACGAGGACGATGACTCAGTGTTCTCAGTTTCAGCATCATCACTTTCGGAACGAGATTCTGGAATAACATGGAAAACAGATTGTTAGCATAACTAGGTGTCTGGCCCCTCCTGTGCACTTCCATGTTTTTCCCATGCAGTGATAAGTAAATGGGCATGCTATCATTCGCTTCTTAAGATTTCTCCTATTCTTTAAGCTTCCAGCTGGTTTTGGAGGGTAGAAACCTCTGCCAAGTGAAGAAGGTGGCAGGGTTTTCATGAAAAGAAGAACTGTTTGTCACCCTGCTTACATAATTCATGGACTAAAAAAATACTGAATCAAGGCTTTCATTTCCTGCTGTTGAGGAAAATCTACCCTTGTATATTCAAGTGAGATAGTTTGTTGCTTTTTTTTTTCAAAGAGAGAAAGAATTCCAGAAGAATATTCCAAGAATCAGGAATATACTTATTCATGTATATATTGTAGGCTAGCGCAGAGTTGACATACTATGGCCTGTTTTTGTAAATAAAGTTGGAACACCTGTTTTTGTAAATAAAGTTGTAAATAAAGGTATGTGGAACATACCTATGCTCATTTATGCATATGTCACCTATGACTGCTTTGATACTCTACAGCCAATATTGAGTCATCGTGAAAGATACCATAGGATCCACAACTCTATCACATTCACTATCTGGCTTTTCACAGAAAATGTGCTGACTGAGCCATAACCTAGAGAGAGAGAAAAATATATGCTTCATTAATTTTCAAATCTTCTCAGTCCTCCCCTAACTTTCAGATATCTAAATTTCCAGTAATTTATCTCAGAGCTAAGCCATCGAGCTAAGGAACCCTGGGCTGCTAAGTTCACGTTCAGTGGTTCAAACATACCAGTTTCTCCAAGGGAGGAAGATGAGACTGTTTGCTCCCACCAAGATTTGCAGTCTTAGAAATCCTACATAGGCTCACTGTGAGTTGGAATGGACTCAATGTCAATAAAGTGGGTAAGTCATAGCTAGAAAGGAGGTGATTGATCCTGCCCTATTGAGCAGTCTGTATCTGGGAATAACTTTACAATCCATATTGCACAGCCACAGTAGTCTATGCTAACTAATGACTACCATTGCGATCAGCACCTCTCCAGTAACACTTGTTCACTTAGGCCACGTTTACCTATTGTGTACCTATTGTGTATCAGACACTGGTTCTTAGAATTTGGAATCTTTCCATGAACAAACAGAAAAAATATCTGCCTCAAGGAGATTCGACATTTTCAGGAGTAGACGTGACATAATAAGTGCATGTTTGTGAAGGAAAAAAGAGATTATGCAGAGTATAAAGCCATTGGAAGTGTTCAGAACGGGAATGGGGCCCTCAGGGAATTCTGTAGTATTAAACAGGGGAGGGCAGCAGGCCCAGGTAGAGCTGAAGAAATGAGTAGCTTGTACTCACATGCAAAGATGAGAAATAAGGGAGCCATCCAGCTACGCAGATGGACGATAGAGAAGAACAAGTGAATAGTCCTTCAGCTCAAGCTACTCACTTAAACTCAGCTGTTTATTTGGTTTCCAGAAGCGGTCCACAAAGAGTTGGCCTGCCTTTTGGGTTTTTTCGGTAACATCTGTAACCAGAGTTTCAGTCCTTTTTACAATCGTGTTAATGCAATCCCCCAATTTGCTTAACTCTTCTCCATTTAACACATCCTTTTCCACCAAATCATCAAAAAAGCCATCAAGCATGTTCTTTGTGATTTTCTTTACAATCCTGACAGGATCCTCTTTGGGTGATTGCCGACCTGCGAAAACAGAACCACAGTTGATATTGTCAGTGCTTAAGGTGTGTGTGTGTGTGTGTGTGTGTGTGTGTGTGTGTGTGTGTGAGAGAGAGAGAGAGAGAGAGAGAGAGAGAGAGACTGACTGACTTAAGGGAGCCAGGGCCAGAAGTAGAGAAACATTGATCATATTCCAATCGCTTCTTTTTTACATGAGGGGAAAACTAAAGTTGAGAGAAGTGAGACAAACTTCTGTAAGGAACATTGTGACAGCTGCCAATTTTATTAATAACTAATTTAGAAAATGCATGGTAGCCAAGGTGTTCAGCAGCATAGCCCAGAGGGCTCATGTCTGTGAAAGGATGGATTTTTGTCTCTACTCCAGGAGGAACTGCACGCTGAGCCTTGGGGAGAGCGCACGCACGGGCCGCTCCTTTGCTCTCCACTGGAAACTCAGGCCTGGAGAGCAGAGAAACATGGGGGAAATGAAAGTGAGGCTGAGCAACGGTCTCTCAGGCTCGTGTCTCTGCCAGATTAGAGGGTTAGCTTTTTAGAATCATTTTAAAAACGAGTTAGAATTTAAGATCAGTAAGAGTGAAAAAGAGAGCGCTTGAAATCATTTGCAATGGGTTAGAACACAGATCTAGATTTTTAAAATTGCACTTTGCTTTCTTTCTAGAATACGTACCATATAAACTAAAATTCTTCCTTAGAACACTCAGTGCTGCCCCTCTGCACACCCTACTTCTCTCCAGGCCCAGAGTAAAACTGGGTCTGCTGAGTCCCCTCATATACCTCCTCCTCCTTTCCCCAGAGCTGTAGCGCACCCCAAAACACAGCCAGAAACAACAGAAAAAACAGACTCACTCACCAGCCATGGCCGCTCCGGCTCCTGAACAAGAAAGGCAGTAAAAACGAAAGCACTTTTGAATCATCTTTCTTTTTTTTCCCTTTCCCTGGGAGGAACTGCGTGTTGCTCTTTCCTAAAGGGGACATTGCAGTTTATCAAATGTCACTGTTCGCTGCCAAGATAAACGTAACCTTTGACTGCTTGAGAATGTTGCTTATTTCAACTAGGCAAACATAAAAAATAAAAATAAAAAGAAGCCACTTTTGCTTTTTGTGTTTTATTTGGTGTAAAAGTTCCCAGAATAAAAACACACACGAAAGCACACACACAATCTAAGTGATCTGTTTTTCAGCATTAAAAAAAAAAATCTCTAAATCAAAGTCAACCTCTCTTGACTGTGTGTGCCACGCTCAGGTTTTAATGGCAGGGAGTTCTCC